CGTCAAGTGAGGTTGTGGCTGAGCCTGGTTAACACTCGGGGCGCCCATGCACGGCTGGAGCCTGCGCAGTCTCTTGGTGACAGCAGTGACCACATGGCGTCCTCCTGCAGAGACCATGTGACTGGCTTTTATTCTCTCTATCCTTGGGTGGAAAGAAGAGGAAGAAGCGATGAGTCCTGGCCTTCTACTTTCGAGTAGGTCAGAAATGTTTTCATAAGATAAAAGTTACAACTGAAAGAAACAGCAGGTCTGGGCGTAAAAACCCTGTGTTTTCAGCCTCGAGGGTGTGTGGGAGAGCGGGAGCTCAGGGTGTCTCTCCTGGGGGCCATGAAGCAGGAAGAAAGGGCTGTGGGGCCAACGCCAGCTCCACTTTACATCCGGGTGCTGGGGCTGCCACAGCAAAGTGCCACAAACTGGGGGGTCCATGTGACAGAAATTCGCCCTCTCCCTCACTGGAGGCCAAGTCTTAGATCCAGTTGTTCCAGGGCTGTGCACCCTCTGAGGGCCCCAGGGAGGCCCCTTCCTGCCTCCTCCAGCTTCCAGCGGCTCCCAGGCTCCCAACCGCCAAGGCTGACACCCTGGTTGGCACTAGGACTCTGATTAGGATTTCGGACAAAGCATTTCCTCCACGGGCAGACACAGAGCACACCCCTGGGTAACAGCACGCCCAAACTTTTAGAATAGTCACCAGTCAAACACTGGCTGTCCAAGTGAGAATCAGTGAGATTGCAAAGTGGTTGTCCTTAGTGAGGGTGTCAGATGGCCTGGTGTGTTTAAGTAACCAAAAGCAAGTCCTTCTGATACCTTGCATGTTGGAGGGGGTATTCCAGTGCTGGTTAGAATTAAAACCCAAAGCAGGTCATTGATTCTGATGGGAGTGCCCTGGCCCCAGGATCATTAAGAAGGGTTTCAGGGAGGAAAAACAGATGATGTTGTCTGTCCCTGGTCCAAATTCATGGTGTATCCCCACTTTCACAGGAATTCCATGCAGGTCTTTTATATGCTGCTGTATTTTATATCTGTTGCTGTGCTGCTACACACTCCAAAACTTAATGGCTTAGAGAGCAAAAAATCACTTTTTATCTCTCACAGACTATTAGCCAAGAAGGTGGGAAGTGCTCAGCAGGGTGGTTTCCTCAGGGTCTCTCATGTGGTTTTATGTCAGCCAGGGCTGCATCACCTGAAGGCTCGACTGGGGCTGGTGGCTCCCTCACGAGGCAGGTGGGCTGGCACTGGCTGTTGGCTGAGGGCCCCAGTTACTCTCTGGGGCCTGCCTGAGTGTCCTCACTGCATGGTGTCTGGCTTCTTCTAGAGTGAGTGAGCCAACAGGCCAAGTGGAGGCTGCAATGCCATTATAATCCAGCCTCAAGGGGAAGTCACATGTTGACCACCACCGTACTCTATGCTGACCACATAGACCAGCCCTGCTGTGTGGGAGGGGAGCACACATAGACAAATATGGGAGTTGGGGGGTCACTGGGGCCATCTGGGAGGCTTGCCACCATCACCCGTCCTGTTCCCTAAATGACCTGCATCCCCAGGTTTCCTATTCTCAGCATTGTGTGCCACCTTGAGGGGCTGGGAATGAGAAAAAGTATTGTTTTCAGACAGAAAGCATCTCTTTTATATTTAACAGCCCTTCCTTTAGTTTATCTCTTCCCTCTCTTACTTTATTTAAAAGTAGCAAGAGGCCAGGTGTAGTGGCTTGTGCCTGTAATCCCAACACTTTGGGAGGCTGAGGCAGGTGGATCGCTTGAACCCAGAAGTTTGAGACCAGCCTGGGCAACATGGCAAAACCCCATCTCTATTTTATAATATTACTGTTTTTAAAAAATGAATAAATAGAATAAAATAAAGTGCAAAATATGCTACCCTCAGTGCCCTCCTTACAAAGCTTGCTAGCTTGATCATTCAGCTTGTTGGGCCACTTTCCACATTACTGCAGGCCATGGTCTTGCTGATAGAATAAGAGTGCCTGTTTCTGGTGGGGTTTGACTGAGCATTCTTGCCTGAAGTCTCCTGAAGCTGTAGTCTTGCATCAGCTAGAGTTGCAGCTCATTTGAAGGCCTGACTGTGGCTGGAGGAGCCACTTCCCAGGTCACTTCATCACACACTGGCCAGTGGTGCTGCTGGCCAGAACTCAGTTCTCTCCAAATGGACCCTGCCACAAGGCCACTTGAATATACAGCATGGTGGCTGGCTCCCCTCAGAGTGGATGACCTGAGAGACCAAGACAGAAGCTGTGGTGCCTCGTACAGCTCAGTCACAGAAGTCACACACTGTCAGCTCTGCCATGTTCCATGGGTCACATGCATCAGCCCTGAGTCAATGTAGGAAGATGATAAACCCCAGTAGGTATGGGTCAGTGGGTTCATCTTGGAGGCCACAGAGCTGTCCCAGCGCTGTCCCAGAGGGGGATTCAGTGACAGGGCCAAAGGGATTCCAATGACTCAACCCGAGGATGACCAGATTAGACAGGACTGATCAGGCTAAGATGATGAAAGGCCGACTGACATGACACATGGGACAGGCCCCGGGCCAGAGTCCCTGGATTGAAGTCTCCACCCCAGCACTTCCCACCTGGGGTTTGGGCTTCATCCATCGGCAAGGCAGAGATGATAGCGAAACCCAGCCTTCCTCCCACCTGTGTGCTGGATGATCAAAGGAGCAAACAGAAAAAAAAAAAAACAAACAGGAAAGTGCCAAAGAGTCACACGATTATCATTTATTTTTGTTACTAGAATGATAAATCCCTTTAAAAATAAACAGCTTTCTTGGATATAATTAACATACTATACATTTCACCTATGCGAAGTGCACAATTCACTAGTCTTTAGTCTATTCAGAGTTGTGTGACCATCATCATTATAGAATAAGGTCTGATTGATGCTTGAGAGCTGACGATGATGATGATGATGATGATGGAGATAGAGTCTGCTCTGTCCACCAGGCTGGAGTGCAATGGTGCTATCGTAGCTTACTGCAGTGTCCACCTCCTGGGCTCAAGTGATCCTCCTGCCTTAGCCTTCCGAGGACTCCAGGCATAAGCCACCACACCCAGCAGATTTTTTGTTTTTTTAGTAGAGGTGAAGATTTGCTATGTGGCCCAGGCTGGACTCAAACTTTTGAGCTCAAACGATCCTCCTGCCTTGGCCTCCCAAAGTGCTGGGCTTATTTTTAGACCATAATGAAAAGTTCCAGTTGATGTTACAGGAAGTGAGCCAGGGAACACTTTACCCCCAGGCTCTAGGAACCATCAAGGTCAGGCTAGAAAAGGGCATCGGCAAGAAGGGGTGTCTGGAGGTGTTAGGGCTGAGCTCTCTGTACAGAGAGAATTCCGCTGTGTGGAGCAGCTGCACTCACTTACGGGTGGCTGGGTATGAGGGCTACGGCCTGTCCTCAAGGGTCCCACCTCTTCCCCAACTTCCTGGCATCCTAGTCAAGATTCAGGGGGTGGGACTTCCCCTGGAAACCTGGAAAGCAGGGAGCACCGACTGCCCATGGACGCCAGGAAGGAGGGAGCGTTGCCGCCCGTGGACCCTGAGAAGGAGGGAGCGTTGCCGCCCGTGGACCCTGAGAAGGAGGGAGCGTTGCCGCCCGTGGACCCTGAGAAGGAGGGAGCGTTGCTGCCCGTGGACGCCGGGAAGGAGGGAGCATTGCCGCCCGTGGTCCCTGGCTGCGTGCCCTCCCCTTAGCTCCTCCACCCAAGAGGGAAGTCGAAGCTGTTTTTCCAAAGCTCTTTCTCCCCCACCTCCCCCAGCTTCCCTCTAAGAGTTCCTGCTGGTGTCCTCCACCCCCAGTCCACCATCCAGGAGCCAAGAATTCGTGGCAGACCCCGAGCACAGCTCGCCAAATCATTCGCTCATTGTTAGACATCTGGGGTTTTCAACTATTTGTTTTCATAAAAGACACTCTAAATGCCCCTGGGCAGTGGCTCCTCTGGAGCTCCAGTCCGAGAACCTCGGGTGTGAAATTCTGTTCTCAGCTCCGCCCCTGCCCAGGCTGCTCTACCATCCCACGAGAGGCTGCAGTTGGAAGCCCCTTGACACCCCAGCCTCCGTGGGTGTGAGCATCCCCAGCACCCAGACCTCGGCTTCTCGGTACCGTGTTCCATTCAAAGTGGCCAGGACTTCTGGGAGAAATGGCCAGCTCCAGTCTGGGAAGGGAAAACGCCAGAGGCTTATAGGAGATCGCGACCCTCCGGGGCTACGAGGCCGTGCGGGAGCACTCAGGAGCCTGCTCGATGGGGGGCGTGGGGGGTGGGAGCCAAGGGTGCCAGGAGATGGCCTGGGGCACAAGTAGCCCTACAGCTCAGGCTCAGACAAGCAGCTGGAAGCCTGGCGGCGCATGGACGTTCCCACGGCTTTAAAGGACGCCCCACAGAACATGGATTAATCATCATAGAGAGAGAGGACAACGTTGCAGGGGAGCCTGCAGACGCAGCATCAATAAAACCGCAGGCATTCATGTCACCAGAGACGGCCCAGGTGAGATTCTACACCCCCCGCCAGGACACCCACAGAGCGCAGCCTCACCCCCTGCTGTCCCTGCCTACCCAGGATCTCATCACCAGGAATCGAGAGGCAGGCCCAGCCGAGGGTATCCTGCAAAGCAGCCTGAGTGCCCACAGCGTGGAGGGGCCAGGAGCCCGAACAGGGTGACACAGATGGAGGAGAGAGGGCAGCTTGGGGCAGGGCATGATGCCCGCAGATTCCCCTCTCAGAACCTCGTGGGGACAATGGCCAGGCTGCAGTGCGGCCTCGCATGGACCTGTCCATTCCCCGATTCTGACGGTGCTGAGGGCTTGCGAATGTCCCTGTGTGCAGGAAACACAACCCAAAGAGCTGGCTGTGCAGCCCCCCACGGGCCTCTCCCAACCTGAGCGGCGCCCTCCTGGCCACTGTCCACTGCTGCCCGAGACCCTGCCCCAGCAGAAGGCACAGGCTGGGGCGGGCCTGCAAGAGTGAACCAGGTTGGCGAGGAGGGGCCTCCCAGGGCCGATGCATCTGAGCAGCACCCTGCAGGAGGGGCAGGCCCCTCATGCCCCAGGCACCGTCACAGGGCCTGCGATCTCATGCATTCGAATGGTACTGCATGGGCCAGGGTGTCCCAGGGGATCCTGTCGGGTGCCCTCCTCAGCTCTTCCACCTTCCACAGTAAGTACTTCGACAGTATGGCTCATGGTCACCCCAAGTCCCCGAGAAGGAAAGAGAGCGATGCCATGGAGATGGGAGGCCAGCCCTGCAAAGGGCACCATAGTCCTGGGCACCACCTCTCCTGGGGAATGGGGGCTTGGGCACCTTCTTCTCCTCCTTCCTCCCTCCCTCCTCCCTCTCTCCCTCCTCCCTCTGACTTGCACCCCCAAATTGCCAGTATCACCCCCTCCCCAGTTGCAACAACCCCAAACATTCAGACATTGATTTGTGTTTCCTGCATGGGGGCAGAAACCCTCCTGTTCCAGAACCGCCGGGCCCCCACATTCCCCCACGGACAGGGACCCATCTCACTCCCCCCACCCCCATTAGCCCACAAGGCTCTGGCCCCCACCCCCATGGCTGCTTGGTGAAATGACAGCCCCGCTCTGCCGGGAGCCGGGGAAGAGGAAGGGGCTGGGGAAGGGAGTCCAGCTAGGGAGCCCTGTGAGCCCCTCTAGGAGCCTGGCCCTGGCTGGAGAAGCACTGGGATGAAACACACTTTATTCACGAGGGCACAGGATTGCCATCTGCAGTGCTTGTGCTAAACTCCAGCAACGAGCAGATGCAGGCTTTCCTCCCTGGGTCAGCAGCCCGGGGCCTGGAATCAGCTACGCCCACTGCACTGAGATCAGCTTTGAAAAGCCCCCATTGCAGACCTGCGGCAAAGGGTCAAAGGCCAGGGGAAGCTGGAAGCTATGCTAAGGCTGCTCTGCTATGATCAGCCTGGCCTGGGGCGTCCTGGGGGATTCCTCAACCGCCTCCTAGACCCCTCCCCCACTCCCAGTATGAGGCCCTCACTCAGGCATGCCTGGGCCCTGGAGGCGGAGAGCCTGGGACTCCACGGAGAAGCCGTGCCCTGCGCCCACTCGGCCTGGCCGGGAGCCCGGGCCCTGTGTGGTCACACCCGGAGGGCCTCACTAGCAGCGGCGGGGGCAGACTCTGTGGGGGCACCCCCTGCTCCAGCAGGGCTGGCCCCAGTGGGGTGGGAGCATGTGGTGGAGGGCACGACCTCTAGGAGAAGTTTGGCTGGAGCAGCCCTGGGGGGCAACCAACTGCCGGGCAGGGGCTCCGGTGGCCCATTTCCCATGACAGGCGGCCTGGACGGGAGGGAAGCGCAGTTTCCACCACCTGAGCCCAGCTCCCAACTCCGGGCGTTCAGATGGGCTCGTGGCCACCAGGCTGTGGGTCCGAGGCGGCAGCCGGCAGGGTCTGAGGGCCACCAAAAGGGAAACGTGTCCCAACTCAGATCCCCTGGCCATGGGCAGGCAGCCTCGGCTCACTCCTCTCCTCTGGGTCCTTCGCCCGCAGTGACAGCTCCGCACCCAGCACCTTCCTGTGTAAGAAGTCAGGGTGTTCGAGACGAGATCGAGGCTGAGCTGGGCCTTGTGTGGCTCCTGCTCATAGGATCCTGGGGGCCGTTTCAGGAAGAGCCTCAGGACAGGGAGAATGCTCAGTCTCCCGGCTGCCCCGCCGGGCAAGAGGGTCCGGTGGTGGAGGGAATCCAGGGGGCGTGGTCCTCACCCCACTGTCAGCGCTGGCAGACCCCAACACTCATCCCCCAGCCCCAGGCACACAACCCGCGCTGCCGCCCCTCTCCGGGCCCTGCCGCCCCTCTCCGGGCCCTGCCGCAGCGGGTGTGTTTGGTGCTGCTGGGGTGGAGTCTGGGGCCAGATCCCATCGTGAATTTGACAGAAAAGGAAATGGGCTCTGAGAGCAGGTGAGGCTCAGCCAGGGCCCCGTGGCTCTCACCCAAGGGCTGAACTCCAACCTTCCCAGCCCAGCTCTGTTTCCCGAGCTGTGGAAAATGCCTCTGTCCACCCGGCCTGGCTGGGTAGTGCCTGCTTCCCCGACACCAGCCACAGGCCGGCTCCCCAGTCCTCTGTGGGACGGTTGCTGGTCTCTGTTAAAAACCCCCCGGGTGACTTGCATGCCGCCAGGGCCTGTGCCCCCGGGAGACACTCTGGGGAGGGGTCACAAGGAAACCTCAGTCCAAGCTGCCCAGCCAAGGCCGGGCATGGCTGTGCCAGCACAGGAAGGCAGGGAGGGGTCTCCAGGGCAGGCAGCTCTCCCCTCGGCCCAGTCCCCTCTGTGAAGTGCTCAGCCCAGGCGGGAACGTGCTTCCCACTCAGCCTCCTCCAAGCCGCTGAAGGTCCCGCTGGTTCCCCAAATGACTTCTGTCCTGAGCCGTGGGCTCCTGACCACGCCACCTACCTTGCACGGCCCGAACAAGAGTCTGCGCCGGGGACCCCGCTCGGGAGGGGCACAGAGGAAGCCAAGGGCCCACACAGGTGAGGGGGTCTCGTGTCTGAGCTCACCCAGCCCAGGCTCAGCAGCAGCCTCAGAATTTCCTGGCATCTGCTTGCCTGTGTTGCAACCCAAGTGGGGTGTGCGCGCCGCCTGAGAGGGAAAACACGCCTGAGAGGGACGATTATGTAAGCGCTTTCCTCCCCAGCACAGGGCCGTCTTGGGCACATCGAGACCAGACCATGTGCAAAAGCACTTCGGGAGAGTGGCAGGAGCTGAGCTGCCTGAGAGGGATTAACCCCTTCCGGGATGCTGGTGGCTCATCCTGGGGAACATGGGACTGGTCAGGATTGTAGCACGCGGAGGGGTGAAGTGTGAATGTGGAGGCACCGGTGCTGTGTGATTTCCCACAAGTTGTCTAACCTCTCTGTGCCTTCATTGCCTGACTCGGCTGTTTCCAATGCAGCTGATTTTAACAGCACCTGTTTCATGAGGCCACAGCCAGGATTCTGGAAGGCAAAGCACAGAAAGCCCTCAATGCGGTTTGAGGCTCCAGGCAAGGCTCAGCTGACAGTAGCTGAAAACAGCAGTTCCAGCCACAGAGTTGCCCACCCTGCCCACCACAGAACGTACAAGGATTTCCAGCTTTGCTCGGATTTGTGGGGACCACTGGGTTTGGACTCTAGGAAAAGCTCATTTGCCTTTGGGCAGAAGCGACCGGAGCTGGAGTCACCAGAGGTGGGGGCAGGAACCTCTCGTTGGCTGATGACCTGGGGAGGGGCCGTCTGTGTGGGGCAGCACTGGACGCAGACCTGTCGATACCTGTGAAACCTGCCAGGCTGAGCCGCCGTCCAGCAAGCGAAGAGACCACACTGGACCACAGCGGAGTCACTTGGCCAGCCCCCCCCAGGTCCCCATAGCCCTCACCTGTGTCCCAACTCCGAGCAGGCGGCCGACAGTGCACCCTGACAAGGCACGTGCGTACCATCGGGGACACCTGCTTCTTTAAAGTGACCGGATGGTGCCCAGGACCACAAAAACCAGTCTCACGGCAGGGTGCCCAGCCTCCTTCTCCCTCCGCTGTTAACATTTTTGCCACGATTCCAAAAATGAAGCTGCAGCTGAAAATAATTTCTTCTTCTTCTATAGCCCAAATGAATGATGGTGTAGAGATTTTCCCATCATGAGAACTGTGGACTCCATTTGTAGTAGGCCCAGGGGGTGACATGTCTGAGGTTGGGGTGCCTTGGGGCCAGAGCCCAGAGGAGAACCTACGTTGGCGTTCTAGTAACGTGAACTCTCATACGATCTTCAGGACAGCAGAGGCAGCGGAGACGCCAGCGGGCAGGGAGAGCTGGCCCGGCCAGCCCCTCAGGAACGAGGTTCAGTCCTATTCTAGCTCAAAATGATAAACCTCATCTCAGATGGCTGCTTGTGACTCCAGGAGACCACCAGGCCCCGGTGACAGCCAGAGCGGTACCCAGTATATCAATCCTGCCCACCTGCCTGGCGTGGCTGGGAGACGCGGCCGGGTGCTCTCTCTCTCCCTCCTTCTTTCACTGCTCCCTGAAGGCAGCATCTAAAGAGGCTGAGGCTGTCCTGTTGCTGCCCTGACCTCTGGGGAGAAGCCCGCAGTTCTGATTACGGACCTCAGACGGGGAAGCGCACAGGAGGCCTCGGGTGGCCAGGCTATGCTGCTTCTCCCTGGACGGGCAGAGCTGGCCCATAGGAGGCACTTCACAGGTGACTAAGGAGGCACAGACCTGAGGCCTGGGGGACTGCAGTGTCCCGTGGATCCCAGCTGCCGGCTATCAGGCCCACGGGTGGGAGAGCCAAGGGAGGGGCTCAGCTGGGCAATGGGATGAGAGCGGGCGGGGACACTGCTGGGAACTCCCTTCACCGCAAGGCCAACAATGTGCGTAAGCGAACAGGGCGGGAGAGCTGCGTGTGGCCTCAGGCAGTCACTCAGCCTCTCCGCCCGTTTTCCTGGTCTGTAAAATGGACCGAAACGCCCGCCCCCGTGGTGTTCTTTGGGCAGTTTCTATAAATGCTTGGCCCAGCCTCCCCAGCACATGGCTGCTATCTGGGGTACTGTTCTGTTATTTTCATCCCTGCCCCTGCTGTTTGCTTAGACTTCCCCTGACTCCAGTGAAATCAGCCTCCACAGGCATTTCGTCAGCCCCTTGTTCGTCCATGACACGGCTAGGCAGGTGTGCCCAGGGGGTCTGAGGCTTTAACGGACTTTAAATGTATGTCCCTGCAGGAAACAGGTTTCTGTACAGCCCGAGAGCAGCCAGGTTCGGGGCTTGAGGGGCAAAGATCCCAAGGATGCTGGAGCCAGGGATGGGGCTGTGGTCACGGGGCTGTGGGGGAGCGGGGAAGGAGCGCCCACGCTGCCAGGACCTCCCACAGCCGAGTCCACCTGGGAAGCCAGCCTGCAGGGCCTGGGGTGGGGGCACAGGAGCCCACCCAGCAACACAGGGGTGACCCGGAAGTGGACAGAGAACCCCAGCGGCTCTATCACAAGGCCACACACGTGACACACATCTCCCGGGACCGGGACTCCGGCTATGGAGGGCCACTTATAGAAAGGAGCCCTCTCCTTACACACAGTTTGCTACCCTTGGTTTCAACGCTGTGCCAAAGTTCAAAATCAGGACGGATTTCCTCCCCACACTGTGTGTAGAAATGCCTGGTGTTCTTTAAACGTGTGATGTCGCTTCCCCACTGGGTGACTGGTATCGGTTTGGCCACCACACTCACGGCTGCTGGATCCCGATGGTCTCAGATCAAACCCCCCAGGGAAGATGGGCTGGGCAATCCATCATCCATGGCGAGCCTTCGAGCCAGATGCAGTCAAGGTCTAGTCTGACTCCAGGACCAGAGATGGAGGGGAGCTTGTCACAGCCCCCATGCCATTCTGCTGAGAGGCACCCCTGCCCAGTGCCAGGCCGACGTCTACACCCTCCTGCTGTTCCCACCAGCCGAGCTGACCCACTTTCCATGGCCACCTGCCGCCAAGCACCCAGAGAGCTCGCTCTCGCCCATCTTCCCGCGGCCCAGCTGCTGGGGGAGCCAGGCGGACACCCGCCCACGTGGGGGAGCAGAGGGAGGCGAGCATGGGGCGGTGGGTAAGTGGATGTGGCTGAGGTGCCTGTGGGGTTTCTTTTGATTGCTCTGGCTGCTGGACAGGGAGGCGTCCCCATCAGCGGAGTGGAGGTGGGGAGGTGATGCACAGGTTCAAGGCAAAGGGAAGGGAAGTGGGGCCGCCAGGCGGAATGAAGAGGTCGCCTGGAAGCCTGTGGTTTCACAGCAAAAATGCAACCAGGTGTGTGCTGCCTCTGCACATCTCAGGTCCAGGGCAGGCGAAGGTTCATATCATCTCAGTTTGGGGCTTTGTCTAGATGAGTCCTCGGAGGTGCGAAGGGGTGAGGGTGTGTCCATGCAGAGGGGAGCCGTGGGTCTGGGCCCCTGGCCCCGCTGAAGGAGGGGTCAGGGGAGCCAGCTACAGGGGAGACGGCAGGGCAGGGGTCAGCGCAATGTGCTCTGCAGTCCACAGATGCGGGACGGGGCTCCCTTAATTTAGGTCTTCTTTAACCTCTTTCAGTCAAGTTTTATGGTTTTTTTCCCCATAAACACTTTTCGCATCTTTAACGAGTTATTTCTTGACATTTCTATATCTTAAAGCTTTTTGAACGGTGGCTTTTTAAAGTTTCCTTTTTGCGTGACCGCTGATGACAGAAACGCAATGACACCTCGTATATTGACTTTGATCCCCAAAAACGTGCTGACGTCTCTTAATAGTTCTGATATTTATCCCTGGGAAATATTTTAGGTTATCTTTGGGAATTGTTTGGAGTTTTCTAGAACACAGTGACATCACCTGCGAATAGCGAGTTTTGTCTTTTCGTTTCCACAGTGTGCCTCTGGCTTGTTTCCTTTTCTTTCTCTGCTCCCAAGACCTCCACACAGCTGAACAGAAGCTGTGAGAACGGCACCTAGCCCCGCTCCCGACGTTGGGGACGCGTGCTGTGGCCGCAAGGCTTCTGTGGAATCTCTTGATCGAGTCAAGGGAATTCCCTTTTTTATTTTCTAGAATTCCTTTTTTTTTTTTTTTTTTTTTGGAGACAGAGTCTCACTCTGTCACCCAGGCTGGAGTGCAGTGGCACGATCTCGGCTGATTGCAACCTCAACCTCCCAGATTCAAGTGATTCTCCTGCCTCAGCCTCCCAAGTAGCTGGGATTACAGGCACGCACCACATGCTTTGCTAATTTTTGTATTTTTAGTAGAGATGGTATTTTGCCACATTGGCCAGGATGGTCTCAAACTCCCGACCTCAAGTGATCCGCCCGCCTCGGCCACATTTTCTTTATCCAGTCTCTCACTGATGGGCATTTGGGTTGGTTCCATGCCTTTGCTATTGTGAATAGTGCTGCAATAGACATACACGTGCACGTAAATTAGTTCAGCCATTGTGGAAGACACGTGTCAGTTCCTCAAAGATCTAGAACCAGCAATACCATTTGATCCACCAATCCCATTACTGGGTATATACCCAAAGGAATATAAATCATTCTATTATAAACATGGCAATTTCCACAAAAATCTCTGCTTGGATTTTCACTGAAATTGCAGTGAATGCACCATTTAGAGAAAAATGATCATCTTTATGATATTGAGGCTTGCATTCACCAACAGGCTACATGCCACCTCCAGTTTGTTTGTTTGTTTGTTTTTTAGGTTTTCTTCACTTTCCTAATATTTTATAGCTTTCTGTCCCAGACATCTTTTGTTAGATTTGTTTCTACATAGTTGAAATTTCTTAGTGTCTATAATAACATTTGTAAGTGATTATTACTGTTTGTTTCTGGAATTCAGAAATATAGTTTTTTGTATGTTGGCCTTGTGGGCAGGAATCTTGTAAATTCACTTATTAACGGTTTGCTTGTGAGTTCCTTTGGATTTTCTTCACATATAACCATATCACCTGTAAATACTGACAGCTTCGTTTCTCATTTTAAAGCCTTTTAAGCCTTTTTTTTTTTTTTTTTGAGACAGAGTTTCACTCTTGTTGCCCAGGCTGGAGTGCAATGGCACAATCTTGGCTCACCACAACCTCTGCCTCCTGGGTTCAAGTGATTCTCCTGCCTCAGCCTCCCGAGTAGCTGGGATTACAGGCATGTGCTACCACGCCCAGCTAATTTTGTGTTTTTAGTAGAGACGGGATTTCTCCATGTTGCTCAGGCTGGTCTTGAACTCCCAACCTCAGGTGATCCACCTGCCTCAGCCTCCTGAAGTGCTGGGATTACAGGCATGAGCCACCGCACCCGGCCCTTTTAAGCCTCTTTTCTTGCCTTGGTGTGCTAGCGCGTTGTGGTGAGAGGCAGCCATCTTTGTCTGTTACATCTCAGGGAGTGGCAGGGGGTGGTGGGGGCAGCTCTCCGCTTTCCACCCTTGAATGGGCAGCTTGTTGTAGATTTCTTATAGACACCTTTGATCAAATTAAGGAAGGTCCTTTCTATTCCTGGTTTGCTAAAGGTTCTCTTAACCCATTTCTGCCTGAGGTCGCCTACTGCTTGGCAATGAGCTCGAGCAGTAGGATATAAAGAACTCCCACATGCTTGGCGTTCCAACAATGGAACACTAGGCATAGTTCATCATGAATGGGTGTTGAAGTTTACAAATTACTTTTCTGCATTTATTAAGATAACCATATAGTTTACCTCTTTTGTTAGCGTGATGTAATACATTGACTTTTAAAATAGTATACCAACTTTGCATTCCTGGACCTAACTTGATCATGATAGATCATCAATGTCACTGGATCAGGGTTATTCATATTTTGTTTAGGGTTGCTTAGGATGTTCAAGAGAGACACTGGCCTGGAGTTTCTTTTTTTCTTTGAAACATCCTTGTCGGATTTTGGTGTCAGGGTTATGTTGCCTCATAAAACAAGATGAGAAATGAGAGTCTCGTGTTTTTTGTTTTTTTCGTAACAGTGAGATGCTGAGCCTGGAGTTTTTCTTTGTGGCAAGATATAGGTACGATTTCCGAAAGACAGGAGCTAGTAAGATGTTCCGTTTCTTCTTATAGCAGTTTTTTCCCCAGTAATTTGTCAATTGCATCTAACGTTTCCAACTGACTTTTGAGACAGTCTCAAGTTTTTATGTGTGAAGGGTTCGTAGATTCTGACATTGTAATTTGTCCCTGCTCTCTTTTCTCTGACTAGTGTACCAGGGCTTTCTCAAGTGTACCAGTCTTCTCAAAGAATCCTATTTGGTTTTGTTGGTTGTATCTACCCTACGTTTTGTGCCTCATTTCATTAATTTTTCCTTGTCTTTAAGCTTTTCTCTAACACAACTGTCGATATTCCCCGAGTTTTGACCAACTTGCATTTGTTATTCAATTACAAATACTTTCACATGTCCAGTTTTCTTTCTTATCTGACCTAGGGGTTACATAAATGTTTGTTATTTAATTCCCAAACATTCAGGGATTTTCTACTTTTCTTCTCATTAATTTTTGCCTTAATTCAATTTGGTCACAAAACACAGTCTGCAAGCTGCCATCCTGTGGTGTTGAGGTGGATTCACATTCTAGTGGGTGGCAATTTGGAGAAGAGCATGTTACCTGAGGTTGTTGGGTGTGACATTCCTCACACGTGGCTTGGATCAAGGTGTCCATCACCTTGCTGCAGTACCTTGCATCTCTACAAACATTTTCTATGCCTTGTTTCTGAAGTGTTTGTCATAGTGAATTCCAGGACTTAAAATTGCACGATCCTTGCTGGGCATAGTGGCGCACGCCTGTAATCCCAGCTACTCAGAAGGCTGAGGTGGGAGAATCACCTAAACCCAGGAGGCAGAGGCTGCAGTGAGCTGAGATCGCACCACTGCACTCCAGCCTGGGCAACAAGTGCAAAACTCTGTCTCAAAACAAACAAACAAACAAACAAAAAACACAAGGCCGTGCGTGGTGGCTCACGCCTGTAATCCCAGCACTTTGGGAGGCCAAGGCAGGTGGATCACGAGGTCAAGAGATTGAGACCATCCTGGCCAACATGGTGAAACCCCATCTCTACTAAAAATACACAAATTAGCTGGGCGTGGTGGCGTGTGCCTGTAATTCCAGCTACTCGGGAGGCTGAGGTGGGAGAATCACTTGAACCCGGGAGGCAGAGGTTGCAGTGAGCCAAGATCTACCACTGCACTCCAGCCTGGGAGACAAGAGTGAAACTCCATCTCTAAATAAATAAATAAATAAATAAACAAATAAATAAATAAATAGCACAGTTCTTCCAGCCTTTTTCTGCAGGGCAATACAGGGGCTTTAAAACAATTCACCTCCCTTCGTCCATGGCCCAAGTTACACAGTAATGTTTTCCAGTATTTTGTTTTTAAAGTTTCAATGAAACAATTTATGTATGTATTCTCTTTGTCCACCGCTCCATCTTACTCCAGGCACCTCCCCTGGATTCATATTCCTGCTCTTGAATAATATTCCTAACAATTCTCTGTAAAGAAGGTGCCATCAGAAATTTTTTTTTTTTTTTTGACAGGGTCTTGTCCTATCACCCAGGCTGGAGTACAGTGGCATAATGATAGCTCACTTCAGCTCAACCTCTTGGGCTCAAGCAATACTATCGCTTCAGGAACTCAAGTAGCTGGGACCACAGGTGCGTGCCACCACACCCAGCTCATTGTTTTTGTATTTTTTTTGTAGAGATGGGGTCTCACTATATTGCCCAGTCTGGTCTCTAACTCCTGGGCTCAAGCAATCCTCCCACCTCAGCCTCCCAAAGCGCTGGGCTTATAGGCATGAGCCACCACACCCGGCCTCAATTTTTGTTTATAAATTTTTGTTTACATACCACCTAATTCTTTATTTTTGTAATTCTGAGAAAATTTATATGCCAACAAATTCACCCTTTTAAGTGAAGGATTCAGTGACTTTCAGTGTAGAGTTGTGCACATGTCACCACTAATTCCACAACATTCTAATCACCCAAAAAGAAACCCCCTGCCCATTCGCAGTCACTTCCAATCCTGCCTCACCCCAGTCCCTGGCAACCACAAATCGGTCTCTCTGCAATTGTCTTTTTTGGACATTTCATATCAATGGAATCAAACAGTAAGTGGTCCTCTGCACATCTTCATTCAGCACAGCTCCTCCGAGTGCTGGCCGGGCTGCGGCACGCATCCGTGCTCCATTCCTTCACGTGGCTGGATTGACGTCCCATTCTTTGGAGACTGCTCAGCACACCTCTGTGTTCTGTTCACGTGGCTGGATGACGTCCCATTCTTCGGACAGTCGGCTTTGTTTCTCCCTTCCATCTGCTGATGGAAACCCAGGTTGCGTCTACCCTGTGGCTGGTACGAGCCGTGCTGCTAGGCACATCTAAGCATAGGCGCACGTGTGAGCAGCTGTCTTGAGGGCTCCGGGGTGGATCCTATGAGTGGAACTGCTGAGTCAGCTGGTAGCATGTCACCAGCACCTTGAACAACAGGTTCACTGAAGACCCAGCCCCAGACCGAGAGCCCTCTCCTCTGCGCCAGTGGCTCCCCCTCCACTCAGCACCCAGTGGGTGCCCACGCCTGCTGCCTTGCTTTCATCCCATCACAGCACCCAGTGGGTGCCCACGCCTGCTGCCTTGCTTTCATCCCATCACAGCACCCAGTGGGTGCCCACGCCTGCTGCCTTGCTTTCATCCCATCACAGCACCCAGTGGGTGCCCACGCCTGCTGCCTTGCTTTCATCCCATCACAGCACCCAGTGGGTGCCCACGCCTGCTGCCTTGCTTTCATCCCATCACAGCACCCAGTGGGTGCCCACGCCTGCTGCCTTGCTTTCATCCCATCACAGCACCCAGTGGGTGCCCACGCCTGCTGCCTTGCTTTCATCCCATCACAGCACCCAGTGGGTGCCCACGCCTGCTGCCTTGCTTTCATCCCATCACAGGCATCTGTCCTTTCTCTCTGGCTGCTGTCAAAATGATCTTTGCCTGTGATACTTGCACGTGTCGAAGCAGAGACTGATGTTCGTTTTTCCTACTTGGGGTTCTGTTCTACTTCCTGAATCCTTGAAATGCATCTTCCTTCTGTTTTCTCCATTCTCTCCTTCTGGGATTCCAGTCAGATGCGTGTGGATTTGACATTCTACACCCCGCCTCCCAGCTGGTCCCTTCTGCCTCCTGGAGAGCGGCCGTGCTCCGGTGACCTCCCGGGAGGCCTCGGCCCGGCTCCTTGTGGCGGCCATCTTCGGAGGCGGCCCCCCAGCGATAGAGACACAGAACCCAAGAGCGCAGCCCCCCTTTCGAGGGCAGCTCATCCTAGACCCTCACCCGCAAGGGGACCCAGTCCAGGCTCCCGACGGGGTGGGGCAGGCTGGAGCCACCACCGTCTGGATGGCAACGCGGAACTCCTCCCAGAGAACGCACAGAGAAGCCCTGCTCTAAGTCGGCGAACCTGGCTCCACGCAGGCCCTTCCCAAGCCCCCAACGCAACTGCTGCAACGGTGTGGGTGAAGCAGGCCAGGCCTGGCTGGTCACCAGAGATTCAAACTGCCTCTAGCACTTCTATTTGCAGGTATTTTCTCTGCCTTAAAAAAATTTGTAAGTAGTAGGGTCTGCCCCTGTGGCTGCAACTTTCTCTAAGGACCCCAGGACTGTGCCTTCTGGAGCTGGCAGCGCTCTGTGGTTTACGAGAACAAGACGTTCCATAGCTGTGTCCTAAACCACGTTTCCCCTCGACAGCCACGACACGGAAACAGAACTCAGGCTGTCCCGGGGCGCCCACACCTACTGTCTGCACAGTGGAGAGAGGGTAGCAGCGTGGCCTGAAGCCCAGCAAGCCCAGCCCCCCAGGAACAGGCACTCTGGCGAACCGTCTCGCAGGAGGAAGAGCGTAAGGCTGTTGTGGTCATAAATACATTTTATTTAATTAGAAATGCATAATTACAGTGTTTGAGAGCATTTCCCCTAGAAAAGTAGGTCAGCAATACCCCATCGGAACCGAGAGCTGGCTTTGCAAACACCTGCCTCATGACACTGAACAGAGCACACAGCAAAGGGCTCCTGTCTCATGACAGTGGACAGAGCACACAGCAAAGGGCTCCTGCTACTCCCCTGGGATTTTTTTTTTCAAATTTTCTTTTTTGTTACAAACACCATAGCAAATTAAAAAAAGCTGTTTAAACAGAAAAATATCATAGTTCTTGATTTCCCGCGCATACGCGACGCTCTCCGCACTGTGCCTCCCCTCCGTCCTCCGACACCAACAGCATGACTCAAACGAAAGGTCTCCGGCTGGGGGCGGCGGCGACTGCTCTTTCAGTTGATAGGGCGCTCTTCCCCGCGGAGGCAGCAGCCTTCAGACGCACTTCAGCAGAACCCGTGCAGCCGCTGCCTGTGCTGAGGCCGAGAGAGCAGGGCGCATGGGGGCCGGGCCATGGGCGGAGCCAGCGAGGGGCTCCTGGTGCCGGGCGCTCCTCGTACCGCGGGCACCGCTCACTGGATCTGGATGGCCCCGTGCTCGAGCTGCATCTCCGGCTGTAGCGTGGGCTGCAGGGCCTCAGCCGTCTGCAAAAGGGAGAAAGGAGGAACTTTCTAGAAAAATACCCAGCACTGCATGGCCAGGGGGTGTCATGAACAGCCAGCAACATTCAGGCAGAATCAGAAAGAGCACACAGGAGCGCGAAGGAGCCCTGACGGCCCCAAGGCTCACCCGACTTGGTACAGAACGCCTCTCCCCCAGCGGAAGGACGTGCCCACAGGGCAGCTCCGGCCCATCCAGGCCCCGGCCCGCCCCCCACATGGCCTCGGCCACCGGCCGGCGCAGCAGCTGCTCCTGCCTCTCCACCCGGAACCCGCCGCCTCACTGGGAAGTAACCCGAAAGTAGAGAACATCCTGGCCCTCCCTAAGATATTTCCCTGAAGCTGCAGGGACCATTTTGCCTTCCTATAAACACTGTCCCAATGTTTCAACAAAGGATTTTCGGGGCAGCTATGTTTCTTCCCTCAAAGTTAAATATGAGGTCTGGTCAATGAGTTACAAATATTAAAAGGACTTAAGTACACAATCACAGCTTTATCTTAAAATGAGTTAAAGGCGGTTGGGTGCGGTGGCTCATGCCTATAATCCCAGGACTTTGGGAGGCTGAGGCGGGTGAATCACTTGAGGTCAGGAGTTCAAGACTAGCCTGGCCAATACAGTTAAACCTCGTCTCTACAATAAATACAAAAATTAGCCAGGTGTGGTGGTGCACACCTGTAGTCCCAGCTGCTAGGGAAGCTGAGGCAGGAGAATCGCTTGAACCCAAGAGGCAGAGGCTGCAATGAGTCGAGATTGCACCACTGCAATCTAGCATGGGCAACAGAGCCAGACTCCGTCTCAAAAATAAATAAATAAATAAATAAAAGTAAAGGAAAAATATATAATCTTGGAATAAGTCACTCATCCTCCAGCTCAGCCACACGGAACATGCCCCAAGTGGAGGAGCCCACTCTAGGGCTTCCATGCACACACTCCCAGAAGCTTCAGCTGGAGGGCACACAAAGGAAGAGCCAGGAGAAGCCACGAGCCCACGGCCAACCCCACGAGAGGAAGACACCTGGTGACTTCTACTATAGTTAAGGTCCTGCTTCATTTTTTAGAGATAGGGTCTTGCTCTGTTGCCCAGGCTGGAGTGCAGTGGTGCAAACACAGCTCACAGCTGCCTCGACCTCATGGGCCCAAGTGATCCTCCCACCTCAGCCTCCCAAGTAGCTGGGACCACCAGTGCGCACCACCACACCTGGCTAAATTTTTTTGAGATGGAGTCTCACTCTGTCACCCAGGCTGGAGTACAGTGGTGCAATCTTGGCTCATTGCAACCTCTGCCTCCCAGGTTCAAGCGATTCTCCTGCCTCAGCCTCCCAAGCAGCTGGGATTACAGGCACCTGCCACCATGCCTGGCTAATTTTTGTATTTTTAGTAGAGATGGGGTTTCACCAGGTTGAGCAGGCTGGTCTCGAACTCCTGACCTCAGGTGATTGGCCTGCCTCAGCCTCCCAAAATGCTGGGATTACAGGCACGAGCCACCGTGCCTGGCCCCAGCTAATTTTTTTACGTTTTGTAGAGATGGGGGTCTCGCTACATTGCCCAGGCTGATCTTGAAGTCCTGGGCTCAAGCAACACCCCTGCCTCAGCCTCCCAAAGCACTGGGATTACAGGCATGAAACACCACACCTGGTCACATTTTTCAAGACAAATGTCAAATGACACTCGATATACTGTTTCCTGGATGGAGAAGGGGCCTTCCAGGGTAGGATGAGTGGTCAGTGCAGGGACTGTCTCCTGAGAGCCCAGCCACAGCTGGGAAGGCCTAATGGGAAGGGTGAACCTGAGCTGGAACGGAGGAACCACACCAGGGCCTGGGGAAGGGGCGAGCCTGAGCTGGAACGGAGGAACCACACCAGGGCCTGGGGTGGGTGGCTGCAGGCCACAGGAGGCTGGGGTAGGGGGGCCACTGCCTGGGATGCAACGCTCCTTCCCCCGGACAGCTGGAAAGGCAGCTAGGGACCAGGGTGGGTGAGGACAGTGGGGCACAGGTCTGGGCTGGCTGGGAGGGACTCACTTGCCCTCCAAGGATGGTGGCCAGACCCATGTTCCAGGCAGAGGCTGGTGGAGGCACTGCCCCTGCTACAGATGGTTCAGGGAGCCTATGACACCCGCAGGCCACCCTGCATTAAGACAAGTGTCTTCCCTGCAAATAGCACCCCCCTACCCTTCCAATCCACTGCTCCAGGGAACAGGCCCCACTCTCCACTTTGAGGATTGGCCACCCCCACAGGCCAGCGACCTGCCTTCCCTCCTAAGGGAACCCCATCTTCTCAGAGCCAGGCCCTCACAGCCGAGTCACAGGTTTTCCTAGAATTAGCTCATGTGTGTGACCCTGCTCCAACCAACGGAAGATGCCAGGCCATTCCCGAGCGTTGCTGGGGTGGGAGCTTCAGTGGATAAGGAGGCTTAACCAGAAACCCGTTTCTGTTGGGTGCAGTCACACCTGCAGGGCCACCAGGAAGGCCTTCGGTCACTTCCCAGTGGGGCAGAGCTAGCCTGAGGACAAGCTGAGATGGTAAGGCAGAGAGCTGTGCAGCTGGTGACAAGCTACCGCACCCTGCAGCTGCCTGGCCTCGGATAGGCAAACCTGCTCACCACCAAGTCCAACCACACTGGGGTTTTCTGCAGGGAAAGCAGCCCGTTAAGCACACTGTCTTCCTTCGCTGTTACGATGGATCCTAATTAAATCATTCACCTGGGGCCTGCCAGGGAGGGCATGGTGACAGAGAAAGCTTAAAGGAAGCTAGGGGTGTAAACACCAACCATGGGACACAGGTTTCTTCAATTGTGAAATCTGGAAATGACCAGAAACTTATAATGCAGCAGAAGCTCTCAGGCATGGCCCCCACATCTAGATTCCCAGGCGCGGACCTAACTGCCCTCCTGCAGCGCTCCTGTCTGGAACAGCACAAGGGGCCGCCATGTGTCCTAGCATGGGCTGACCACGCCTCGCTGTTCTTCACGGGCAGGTCAAGGTTCACACCACATAAAATAAGCGCTGCTCAACAAGTTTGCCTTCACCATCCCACCCACCCCCCACCTCCCGCCTGCCCATTCTGTGCCCATGACTGTCATGTGCTACCAGCCCATCTCCAGTGGGGTCAGTGACAGTGTAGAACCAAACACCATGCAGAGTACAAGGCATGCCCGTGCAGGGGCCACCACACCCATGGGCACAGAGTACAGGGCGTGCCTGTGCAGGGACCACCGCGCCCATCGGCACGGCAGGAAGGCTCAGGCTGCAGGAGGGGCCAGGCCTTCTACAGGACATGGGCCCTTAAACTCTGGGCCCGCAGCTGCCGTGCTGTGAAGAAGACGTGAGTGTCAGGCGAGCACTGACACCGTCGCGTGGCTGCTGCCGCTGAGGGGCTGCAGAACTGCCCAGCCGGGCGACCTGCACACCCTGGTGAGCGTGGGCTCTACTGAGCCCAATTCTTCAGCAAGCGCCTCCTGAGGAGGACTCCACTCCTCCCGAGGGCTGACGGGCACACCCACCCTCAGCAGCGCCCGGGGAGCAGGGAAAGGCTGCTCAGACATCTAGGATTTTAATTCTAAGCATTGAAGATGGATGGCATCAAGACACAGGGGGATCACCAGTGCTGGGTCCACAGGAAGGAGAGGAACAGACCCAGAGACAGCAGCCAGAATGTTCCCAAAGGGCTGGGCAGCAGCCAACCACCCGGCTGGAGGAAGAACAAGGAAAAGGTCCCGGTTGGGCACGTTCCCAAACCAGGCGGCACGGAGGCTGCGGGACCAAGCCTGCTCCGGGACACAGGGCCACCTTCCGCCTCCTGTGTTCAGAGCGAACAGCCCATGGCATCACGGGCTCTTGTCTGGGCCTCGGCCACCCTGGGGATGTCAGCACAGCCGCACCCTCAGGCGCTTCCGCCTGCGAGGTCTGGAGATGCTGGCCATGAGCCTACCAGGCCATCCACAGAGCACAGCAGACCTGCACTTTGTTTCGGCGGACGCCAGGGTCATGATGGCCCAAGGTGCTGGCTCTGCCCCAAGCTGAGGCCTTTGACAAGGGGCAGGGAGCTCTCGAGCTGACAGGGCCCCCATGCTCCCCAGCCCACAGGAAAGGGCTCCGTGGAGGGAGCACAGGGCAGAGCTTCACTTCTGCCCCTGAACTGACAAACATTTCCACAGGACAGTCTCCAGAATCAGTTGAAATTTAGAACTGGGGCAGGATCTACCTTCTCACCTTCACATTCATGGTGCGTGGGAGACGTGGAACCCTCAGATGGGCATCCGTGTCCGATCACATGCCCTCCGCACGGGAGGAGTCACGAGAAAGCCCCGGGGCCACGTGTGCCCAGTGGCAGCGGCAGGCGGCCGTGCCATCACTTCAGTGTCCCGGCGCGGGGCCCCAGACTCACCTGCGCCCCGGCCGTGTGGTCGCTCACTGGCGCCAGCTGCACGTACTGAACCTGGATGTCGCTGCCCTGGAGCGGTGATCCATCCACGCCCGCCGCCGCGGGGTCCGAGGAGGCCACAGCGATCAGCTGTGCGCCCTGCAGCACCTGGAGAGACACAGTCCCGTCAGTGGCATGGCCCACAACCCACGCGGCTCCGCAGACTGCACACCCTGAGCGGCAGGGACACGGCCTCAGGGCCACACCGAGGACTCGGTGGCACATCCTGTCTCCCCATCACTCTTGGGTCGCGTCAGGTCCAGGGAGAGTGTCACTGAGCCTCTGCTGGATCTGTAACTCCCCCTCAAGCACCTACAGAGCGGACAAAAGGGGGAAAAAAAAGCAAGGCAGAGCTTCCAGAGAGAGCAAAAGCCAATGCCACAGGGCCTCCTGGAAAAATCTCAATGGCAACCATGAAGAGCACAGGCTCCCAGAGCGCCAGTCAGGGCTCAGACCCAAGCCAGCACCATGAGGGAGGCTGAGACCCAAACCCTCCCCATTCCCAAGGCAGAGTCACCTCAAGGCCTCAGGGAGAGCAAAGGTGGGCACTGAGAACTCAGGAGAAGCTCGCAGGAAAGCGAGGCCCGGTTCCAAGAGGGGCGGAAGTGAGTCCTGGTGGCAGAGTCCCGCTGGCCCTCCCGACCTTCTACCACCTCCCAGAGTGTGGGATGAGAATGGGGGACAGGTGAGGGGCCCCTGGGTGGGTTCTGGTGACCCCATCGCCTGTGAGCACCTACACCCACTTCCCACTCAATCCACCAGGCGCTCCAACAGCCAGGCAGGCAGCTCCGGGGTCAAGAGGGCCCAGGCAGGCAGGTGGGCGGCCTCAGCTCTGAGGCACTCGACATGGGCTGTGGGGTCTTCACTTGAGGCTGCGTCCCACTATGGGAGGGCCAGGAGATGCACCCCACAACTTCCACACAGAACCGCACTCTACACACTGAGAGTCTCACTGGTGGCCCTGGGAAGAGCAGCAGCCCCTGTCCCAGGGCGCCCCACCCCATGGAACCTGGCCACAGCGGGCCTCCCGTGGGACCTGCCCTGGACGACAGCAGCACTGCACAGAGCAAGCATGGCCCCTGCAAACACACTGCAGAAACAGCCCCAGACCAGGGATTTCACCTACAAGTGCTTTAAAGACTAGACTTCACCTACATGTGCTTTTAAAAATGGTTATGTTTCTAAGCAAAGTTCACCTGCAATGCTAGAAGAGAAGCCTTTTAAAGACACAAAGTATAGTTTACTCTACACTGAGGTTAGCAAAGTATGGCGCCCAGATCAAACCTGCTGGCTGCTTTTGTACAGCTGTGAGCTGAGAATGGCTTTTAAATGATTTTTAATGGCAGAAAAAAAATGCAAAAAAAATTTTGTGCTACACGACAATTCTAGGAACCTCCATCTTCAGTGGGCATCTACAGGCCTGCCACATGCTGGCCTGTCATGACCCAAGGGCCATGCTGAAAAGCTGTGACGAGACCAGGTGTGCCCCCCAAAGCTGAAAACCCATCCCCTCTGTCCCTTTACAGACAAGCCTGGCAACCCTGCCAGCCACCACCTGCGAGCACACCAGCCTCGGGGGATCAGCCTCGGGGTACCAGCCGAGCCATGAGAATGAACCCAAGGAGCGTCAACCTTCTGCCTCGGGATTTTGTTGTCTCAAACAGATGCTATACTAGAAGGAATATGGCTAGAGTCAGCAACAGATGCTATACTAGAAGGAATATGGCCAGAGTCAGAACGTCCTGCTGGACTGTGGGGTTTCTTTACCCGACGGCCCCTACTGCAGAGGCCTCTGAGTCCAGGTGTCGGACGCGGGCCCGGCGCGGTCCCGGGGATTCATTCATTGTGCAGCTGGCCCTTCAGCACCACAGGGGTTAGAGGCACTGACCCCTTGTGCAGCTGAAGTCACGTACAGTCTCTGACTCCCCAGAACTTAACTACTAATAGCCCGTTGACCAGTGGCCCTACCGAGAGCAGTCAGTGAGCAGGTATTTCATGTGCTGTGGTGCGTACCATCTACTGTATTCCTCTAATAGAGTAAGTGAGGGAAAATGGGGTATTCAGAAAGGCACAGGCAGGAGGAAATACGGCTGCTATTCATTAAGCAGAAGCGGATCTTTATTAAGCAGAAGTGAATTGTCACCCAGGCCTTCATCCTCACTGTCCGCATGCTGACTGGGGCTGGGGGGAAGAGGAGGAACAGGAGGGGCTGGCCTTGCTGTCTCAGGGCAGCAGAGGCAGGAGAGAGAGAGGAGGTGGAAGAGGAGGCAGGCATGCTCAGTATAATTTTTATTGAAAAAAAATCCACGTATAAGTGGATCCTCATAGTTCAAACCCACATTGTTCAAGGGTGAACTGTAGTCTTCCAAGGAACAAACGTTAGTCTTTTGGTGATGGACAGAAAGAGCAGAGCATTGTGAAGTACGTGCATTGACATCAGAACACTGACAAAGGGGCTACTGGCCCTTGGGTCCAGGTGCCATTTACAGAGGAGAAAGTGAGACCTGGGCAGGGGTAGGGGCAGTTTAGGGGCTGGACTTCCATCACACAGCAGGGGGGGGCAGAGGCCACACAGAAGCACCTGGGTTCCCGAGGTCCCACAGCGACAGCACGCCATTCGGAACCCAGCCTGACGACGAGCACACTGAGGTTTCTGGACTCTGTTTCACAGGATGGGGCAAGCCCACCGGAGCGCCGTGCATCTGGGCCTGGGGCCGCAGCTGGGCTGGGTGCAGGGATAGGGGCAGGAGAGGGAGCAAGTCCCTATCAGCCGCAGAGACTCTGACTCAGACCATGAGGCTGGTGCCGAGGGCGCCCAGGGAGGTGGAGCCCCTGGAGAGAGGAACTTCTTCCCGAGGAAGGAAGGGAGAGCAGACGTTCCTGCCGGTGTGCAAACCCGCCAGTAACTTTTCAGTGATGCCTGGGAATAGGCCGGGCAAGGCTGCACTTGGAAAGCGGGCAGGGGAGGAGCTCTGTACTCAGCTCCACCATGCACGGAGGCAGTCGCTCTGTCCTGCATGGATCCGCAGCCACCCACGTTCCTGCCCCAGACCTGGGCTGGTGCCCACTGGAGGAGGCAGCCAGCACCCGCACTGGTGGGCTCTTCTGTGAGGACCTGCCAAACTGCATTTCCCACTCATCACAGCACAGGCCCCGAGAAAGTTCTGGAAAAAATATCCTCAGGGGCTGTCCCAGAGGTGTCTCAGGGCTGTGAATAAAGCAAGCTGCCTGAACCAGTGTTTCTCAACTATTCCTACCAGGCTGAGGCCTTGAAAACTCCTGACCTGCAGGAAACGGTCTGCCCGGCGCAGGGACTTGACTGGTAACTCCCAAGCGTCCACCCACCTGCCTGCCCTCCACGACAGCAGGGGGACCCTGGCGCAAGCTCAAGGTTCACGCCAACCAGGTGACCACCAGGAAAGCCAAGCCTTGGGTGAGCAGCAAAGGAGCACACGGCAAACCCGCGCCTCCTCCATCCCCAGCTCTCGGGAGCCTGTGCCACAGCCAGAGCTCTGCAGGGGCCACAGGTGGGCCGAGTGCACGACGCTTTCCACTTTGGGCACCTCTGTCGGACACCCAGCTCTAAGCCACATGTGAAAACGGAAACGAAGTGCGTGGCCACACGCAGAACGGTGCCACTCCAAGCACCTCCTCATCACATACGTGGAGTGTCACAGACTGACGACAAGCAGGCAGACAATGGGGGGAGGGCACGTCTGTTGGGGATGGAGGGGGTACTGACACATTGGATGCTACAGGGAGGCCTCGAGCGATGTGTAACTGTGGGAAAGCAAGGTTCAGCTGGGAACACTGCCAGGGTCCCCTCATCTCAGGGTGTAACCAGGCAGGAAGGACGGAGTGGGGAGTTTGACAGGTTGGGTGGAGACCTGGGGTTTACCCTGGGGTGGAGCAGGGCGAGGTCAGTGACAGGGCGGAGGACCAGGACTGGGGCAGCTGGCCGTCCAGGGCAGGGATGGCTGGAGCACAGCACGGTGAGCGCTGTGAGGCGCAGGGAGGGGCGGGCACTGGGGAGCAGCTCTGAATGGGAGCAGCAGCAGCTGACCCCTTAGATTTGGAAATAGTGCCAAGGAAATACAGGACTCTGAAACTCTGGCATAAAATACACACAAAGTTATCTCAAATCGGGTTTGAGCAGTGGCAGTGCAACAGGTGAGGTGGGGCTGCCCTAGAGCCCCTCAGGACACAGACCCTGAGTCCTGCCTTTGGCTGGGGGGGGGGGGGGGTAGGGGCGGCACGCAGCAAGGCACAGGGTCACAGCCTGGGTCCAGCTCGAGTCTCCTCCCTGAGGGAGGCCCCGGCGCAGATGTGGTGTAGGTGGGAACCAGCATTGGGCAAGACACCTGGGCGACATTGGCCGGGGGCTGAGAGGCCAAACAGCTGTAACGCCCCACACCCAGCCCAGCGACTCTGGCCCCCTCGGCCCCATGAGACCAGCCACACAGGCCAGTTGGCCACTCCACTGGCATCAAAGCAAAGAACACACTGAGTGGCAGGCGGCACAGAGCTGCAAAGGGTTAAAGGTCAGCGGTCTCAGCTTCCCCCACACACCTAGGCCCTAGGACCCTGCCACGTGCTGTGTGTCCAACACCAATTAATAAAAAAGTGAGTGCGCATTCCTGTAACTGGGTTTCCAGGCGAGTACAAAACTCAGCAAAAAATTTGCCTGGTACCTCCATCCAAAAATGTCCAGGTCGCTGTGGCAACGTGCCCCAGCCGACGGCTCTGACCTCTGCCGGGCAGAGTCACCCAGCCTCGCACAGCCACTGACAGCACCGCTGCCTCCCCTCTGCCCTGGAAGACCCTCAAGTCTCCCAAGGGAGTAAGAGGAAGCACCAGCACCACTGGGAGCCGCGTTTTGAAGGCTAATGGCAAAGACACACACAGGCAACGTAGGCAAGGTTTGGCACCTTTCGGGGGGGGGGGGGAACTGAACAAAATGATTCAATGTTTTGAGTTTTTCAAGAATCTATCAACAGAAATTTCTAGTTTCATCCTTGATTTATGGAGTAGGATCTTCTCATTTCTGCCTCAAAACTACATTTTTCCTGGCAATGTGGTTTTAGTTTACATGAACGCAGCTCAGCTGA